GAAACTATACTTAGTGAGCACGTTCAGTCCTCTTACTTGGAAGAAGGAGATACAGGTTTGACATTTTGGTTATCTGATGAGTGAACTTCCTCAGATGCTTCCGTGTTTTATTTTTTTTTAAATTTTTTATTATTATTTTTTTAATCAATCTTTATTGTTCATATTATTACAAAGGTTTCTCATTTCTTCCCCCCTCCACCAGGATCCCACTCCACTCTCCACCCCTTCCCCTCCCCCATTGTCCTCATCCATAGGTGCACAGTCCATGTTCAGTCTCTTCCTCCCTCCCTTTCCCCGATAGTAAATCAGTTACTTAGCATTTTCTCATATCAATAATACCTCCACATGCCCAAAGATACACTTCACACAAAAGACATTTCCAAATAGATCAACCAACCTCATCCAGGCCTCGCACAAGGCACTCACAGATCAACACCCCAGCGCTATACTAACTCAACATATCCAGATCTAAGCCTTCATCACTTGATTCAGCAGACCCTCAAGTTCCCGCAAAAGTTTCCAGCCATCTCTGAGAGGCAGCCTTGGGGAGGGGGTAGGCGAGGAGCGAGCTGTTCCGGGCCTGGCTGCTCCGGGCCTGGCCTCTGTTGCTCTGGGCCGTTCCACAACCAGCTGCTCCGGGTCTGGCCACTGCTGCTTCCGACTTGGTTACTCCGGGCTTCGGCGTTTTAACCCTCTGAGGGACTAAAATGAAACCCTGGTTTAAGTCGAGGACGGCACTTTTACCTCCCCAGAAACCTCAGCACTTCAGCAGCTCCTACTGGGCTGATTTGTATTTCGACTCATCTCTGTCCTGTATTAACGAATTCTTCCTTTTCTCCACAAACTTTCCGTAGCTGAGGGGTTAGTCATCCTCCGTGTTGACTACTCCAAGCCCCTCCTGATGTCATCTCAGCTCCAAACCCTCTCCAACTTCTTCTTCTTTTTTTTTTTTTTTAAATATATTTTATTGATTTTTTTTACAGAGAAGAAGAGAGAGGGATAGAAAGTTAGAAACATCGATGAGAGAGAATCATCAATCAGCTGTCTCTTGCATACCCCCTACTGGGGATGTGCCCACAACCAAGGTACATGCCCTTGATCAAAATTGAACCCGGGACCTTTCAGTCACAGGCCGACGCTCTATCCACTGGACCAAACTGGTTTCAGCCCCTCCAACTTCTTGCCTAAGACCGTTCCATCTGTTCCTATACTTAGATCGCCCGCCCCCTTAGAGCCCGGGACTCTCCCGTGGTAAAGAGGGCACAAGTTACACCAGGGCCTGAGGCTGGGAAGATCATCCATTCTCCACTTATTTGCTGACTGCTGACATCATCAGAGCCCTATGGGATATGGAGATCATTTATAATAGTCACTGTCCTCGTACAGCTCACAATCTATCGGGGAAAAGAAACAAAACCAGGCAAGTACAGGAAGTCTCAGTAAAAGCTGGACTAAAGTGTCACAAAGGAAGGGCCCTTCCCCCAGATCACAGTGTGAAGGAAGGCCTCCAGGAGGAAGATGAGATTGGAAATTTAAATAGAAATTCTTCAGGCAAGAATTTGGATTGGAGATGCGGTCTAGACAGAAAGAACACAATGCAAAGCCCCGAAGTGAGAGAGGGCATGGTGTGTGCGGGTTCATCAGGGTAAGACTTATAATAGGTAGGAATGACCCAGAGACCAAGGCTAGTTCTGCTGAATCACTCAGGCCATCCCTGTTCCCACTGGGCAGGCTTACGAGTGAGTCAGCTAGCCTGGCTGATGTGGCTCAGTGGTTGAGTGTTGACCTATGAACCAGGAGGTCACAGTTCAATTCCCAGTCAGGGCACATGCCCAGGTTGTGGGCTCTGTCCCCAGTAGGGGCTGTGCAGGGGGCAGCGGATCAATGATTCTCTCTCATCATTGATGTTTGTACCTCTCTCCCTTCCTTTATGAAATCATTAAAAATAAAAATAAATAAATAAAAGACTGAGTTAAACAGGTGTTGGAACAGGTACCCCAGGCAGGAGAGAGCCGAAAACTTGGCAAGGGCCAGTCACAGCGCAGGTGGAGTCTATAAAGATTCAGTGAGATACTCTTATGTCAAGTGCCTGGCGTAGAGAGACCCCCCACCCCAAGAAATGGTAGCTGTTATTGTTGTTATTATTATTGAACTGCATTGCTAGCACAGAAGCAACTGGCAGAGGCTCTCTCTGGAAGGGACCCCGAAGAGGACCTGGTAGAGAACTGTCACCCCTCGGCTGATCCTTTGTGGCTGATTTGTTATTCTTTTGTGGGAAACAAACTCTTTGGAGAATCTGATGAAGACTGTGGACCCTGTTCCCAGGGAAAAAAAGCACATCTGCTCCTGTGAGGCTTTGCATATTATTTCAGGGACTTCACAGACTCCTGGATGGCTGTCTAGTCACGGAGCCTGGCTGGACCCAGCTGTTACTCCCCCGAGCGCGGCTGAGAAAAGTTCCCCACTATTATCTCAGCTCGTTATACCAAGTGAAAACCTCAGCACGTGTTGTTGCAATTCTCTGAGTATCCCGAGTACTTTAACATGCCAGGTGGCACAGCAAAGGAGTGAGTGGACGGGGGGAGACTAGTGAAGAGGCTGTTTCGATAGTTCAGGGAGAACAGGGCTGGCTTGAGTCATGCAAGGCCCCCCTGTGCTTGGTTTCGTGCTCTGCTGTGTCATCATTCTTAATTCCTTCACAAGGAGCCTTGCCTTGGCGTTTTGCACTGGACCCCACAAAGCATGCAGCCAGTCCCGGGAGTAGATAAGCATGCATTTGAGTGCTCACTATGTAAGCAGCTTACAAGTGGCAGTGCTGGGCCTGGAGCCCGGACTGTTGGGGTCCAAACCATGGTCTTAATCTCTGCCATACTGCCTTCTGAGTCAAGAGGGCTGGAGAGGAAGGGCAAGAATCAGAAACGTTCTGCCAGGGCCTCTTGTTTTAATGACTTTTCCTCTCCAGACTGTTCTCTCTGTGAGTGCAGAGGCTGGTGCACCCCCTTCTCTCCGGGGGAGAGCCTGGCACAGAGTAGATATTTCATAGATACTGGCTGGAAGGCACAGTTCACAGGCCAGACGGGATAGAGAAGCCTGGAAGGGAGATGAGGGATTCCCATCTGAGTGATGCTAATCATCAAGATGACCACGAGAAGTCAGTGGCCCTGGCCACGTGGACTGTCAGTCAGTTGGAGTGCCCTTCGATTCTCCAAAAGGTCATGGGTTCGATTCCTGGTCAGGGGACATACCTATGTTGCAGGTGGATTGGGGTGCACAAATAGGCAACTGATCGATGTTTCTCTCTCCCTCTAGCTCTAAAATTAAAAATGTAAATATATCCTCAGGTGAGGATTTTTTTGAATTTTTTCCCCTTATTGATTAAGGTACTATATTAGTGTCCTTATCTCCCTATTCCCCGCCCCCCACCTGCCCAATCATGCCCTGACCCTCACCCCCTGTTGTCTGTGTCCATTGGTTATGCTTATATACATGCATACAAGTCCTTTGGTTGATCTCTCTCCCTTACCCCCACTCTCTCCTACCTGTCCTCTGAGGTTTGAGCATTTGACCGATGCTTCTTGAGAATTTTTTTTTTTTAACTCAGCTGTGGGGCAGGGATTGTTTAATGGATTTAGGATGTGTTTAAGAGTTGAGAGTTTTTCGCTGGGACCGGTTTGGCTCAGTGGATAGAGCATCAGCCTGGGGACTGAAGGGTCCCGGGTTCGATTCTGGTCAAGGGCATGTACTTTGGTTGCCGGCACATCCCCGGTGGGGAGTGTGCAAGAGGCAGCTGATTGATGATTCTCTCTCATCAATGTTTCTAACTCTCTGTCCCTCTCTCTTCCTCTCTGTAAAAAAATTAATAAAATATATATTTAAAAAAAAGAGTTGAGAGTTTTGGGGGGACTTCTTGGAGAAGGCATCCTTCTAGGGCAAGCCCTTCCCCTCGCCCTTCCCCACTGCAGCCTGGTCCAAGGGCTAGCCAGGCAGGCCTGCCCCTGGGAGCCTGATTGGGAGGCTCGACCAGTGGGTTCCGGAATAGCAGGGCTCATTTCTGGATCCCAGTGTGTGTGTGTGTGTGTGTGTGTGTGTGTGTGTGTGTGTGTGTGTGTGTGTGTATGCAGTCAGGGCCCAATAAATGCCAGGAGAAGAAAAGAGGGAAGAGAATGGCATTCAGCAGATCTGGGAACTAGAGTGGGAAATGGAGGGCCAAAGTTTGAACCCCAACCAAGACCCTAAAGACAGGCTGGACAGAGAGGGGTGTCCAGCGCCCTCAGGAGGCCAGGCACAGGGCTCAGTGCTTTGTTCACACAAACACCTTTCCTCTTCATGGCAACACTGAAGCGACATCCTTAGTCCTACTTTGTTTAAGAAAACTGAGACCCGAAGAGGCGACGTGATGTGCCCAAGGTCACAGAGAGAGAGAGAGAGAGCAGGCCGTGAAGTCCGGGTCTGACCCGGGGCTCTCAGCCCCCAGGCCTGCGCTCTCCCCTCCGCACTCCCCGCCTCTCTCCCCCAACTCCCCGCTTCCCTACCCTTCCCACCGCCTCTGCCTCCTGCGGCCGCCCCGCCCCACCTCTCCTCCCTCCCCTCCTCCCCCCTCCCTCTCGGCGGCGGCGGCGGAGCCACGTGGTGGGGCCGGGAGCCGTGGCCGCGGAGCGCCGGGCGGCTGCCCCCGCTGGCAGAGCTCTCCGCGCCGCGCCGGTGTGTGCGCTCCCCGCTCCGCGCCCGCGCTCCCCGCCGGCCGCCCCGGGGCAGGGGGTGCGCCGGGCGCCCGGCCGGGCAGACAAAGAAGGAGCGGCGGACGGACCGACCATGGACCCAGAGCGCGGGCGGCCCGCCCCGGCCCCGAGGACCCGGCGCTCGCGTCCCCGGCCCTGAGCGCCCGGCCCCGCCGCCCGGGGCGCCCAGCGGGAGGAGCGCGGAGACCGCCCGGGGCGGAGGGAGCGCCGGCCGCCGAGCAGACGGGCGCCGCGGCGGGCGGCCTGCGCTGCCCCGGAGCCATGGGCAAGTGCAGCGGGCGCTGCACGCTCGTCGCCTTCTGCTGCCTGCAGCTGGTGAGCGGGGTGGGCGCGGCGGGCGGGGTCTCCGGGCGCGCGGGTGGGTGCGGGGTCCCCGGGTGTGTGTCCGGGGAGAGTGCCCGGGCGGGGGGTGGTCCGGAGTCACGGAGCGGACGGGCGGAGCCAGCCCCTGCCGGCCGCGCTGTCTCTTTGTGTGCGCTCCTCGCCGGCGCGCCCCGGGCCGGGAGTGCGCCCCGCGCCCCGGGCTCCGCGCGCCCGGCCTCCTGTTGCGGGGTGCGCTGTGGGACTGGAGCCCCCAAGCCGGCCGGGGCTGGGGATGTGGCCGGGGCTGGTGTGTGGATCCGTGGTTACCCCTGCCGTGTGTTTGCCTAGATCACTCGTTTGTTTGCGTGGGTCTCCCTTCCCTCTGGGCTGCTGCCTCCGGTCTCCGCCCCGGGAGCGTTTCTCACAAAGTCTCAGCTTCTGTGCGTGTGTGTCTCTGGGTTCCTCTTGGGCATCTCTCTAGATCTCTGGATCTGGTCCATGCCCATCTGTGTGTGTTAGGATCCTGTTGGGATCTTAGACGCCAAGAACCCTTCTCTCCTTTGTGCTGTTTCTGCCGCCCCCCGCCCCCCTTTACCCCCGGACTGAGCAGGCCTAGGAGTGGAGCCACCTCCCTGGAAAGGGCCACACGGAGGTGCCAGGTGCTGGCCAGTCTGACTCACCAGGCGCTGAGCCGCCCTCCCTGCTTTGCCTGTGGCCACCGTGGCATGGGTGTTCCATCCGTCATCCGCTCCTCCAGAGCTTCAGGGGTGAGGGCAGGCAGCGGTCCTCTCTCAGGGCTGGCACGGACGGAGTTGGGCATTCAGGGGTGCCCTGGGAGGATGGGAGCGTCTGAGGACGCTGTGCCCGACCCCAGCTTAGGGAACTCAGGTTCTTGTCTCCCGGGAGGCTAGTGGAGTGAGTTCAGGAGCGGAAGGGGACCGACTGCCCTTCCTTTCAGGCTCTGGCAGGTGGATTGGGGAGGTGCTTAAGGAGAGGCCAGGGTCCTCTCTGCCCCAGAGCTGAGGCCCCACAACAGGGGGTTTTTGAAGCTGTGCTGCTCCTCTGGGTAGAGACGCATGGGAACCTCCGTGGACGAAACTCAAGCCTGAGAGTTGTGCCTGCCTCAGTGACCTGGTCTCCACTTTTGCCTGCTCCACGGCCCCTCCACCACAGGTGTGTGCAGTAACACAGAGTGAAGCTTTGCAGCTGGATGGGCAGGCCTCCCCTCTTGGGGACACCAGCCCCAAACTTGCCATCCGAGGCCCTGCCCTCTTGGGCAGTGGTAGTTCTGCTCCCAGCGACTTCCCCTCACTGGCCCCCTTGGTCTGCGGATCTGTCTGTAAGTTGCTCATCCTTGAGGGTTGCAGAGGAGATTAATTAAGAACAGGAGGAATGGAAACTCCAGAAGGGCAGGCGTGATCGGCTTTGTTCCCTGCTAAATCCTCAGCAGCTGGAACAGTGCGTGGCACTCCATTAATATTCGTAAAACAAATGAGTGAATCCGTTGTTTTGGCCACTCCTGGCGCACAGCACGAACACCCTGCTTTATCTGCTCTGAGGCACACAAAATGCCAACAAGTGCTCAAACTTTTCAGATGGTTCCTTTTTCTGTACTCGTTCATGTTTGCATTTTAAACTAGAGCTTTTTTATTAGTAAAGAAATGCATACATGTTGTAAGAATGAATGAATCAATAAATTATCCAAACAGAGCAGAAGAGAAAGGTAAGTTTTCCTTGTATGTCCAGTTCCACACCCCAAAGATAAGTACTAATTAAGAGTTTGTCCCAGGCTCATTCTGTTGATGATAATAACAACAGCTAGCTTTGCCCTAGCCAGTTTGGCTCAGCAGATAGAGTGTCAGCCTGTGGACCAGGTTCGATTCCGATCAAGGGCACACACCTTGGTGGCAGCCTCCTCCCAGGCCCGGGCCCCAGGTGGAGCACATGCAGGAGATAACCAACAGATCGATGTTTCTCTCTGTTTTTCCCTCTCTCTTCCACTCTCTCCAAAAGATCAATGGAAAAAATATTCTCAGGTGAGGTTTAACAAAAATAAGTACATACAAAATAAAAGATGAGGGTTGCAATGATAAATTATTTTTTTAGAAATAACAATAGTTAGCGTTAGGGAGCACTTACGAGGTGGTTGCAAGCACTTTTCCACCCATTAACTCATTAAATCCTCAGAATGACCCTGTAAAGTAACTTGCCCACGTTGTGTAGATAGGATCCAGGCTGTGCAGCCAGGCAGCTGACCAGCATCCTCTGTTGCCTTCTTATAAAATATTAATAATTAGTTCTGGGCCTGATTAAGTCAGGGGTCCCTTGGGAAGTGCTTACTACTCTCTCTAGAGAGATGAGGTGGTGAATGAAGGTAATCGCCCTGCCTCCCATTCACTGCCTCTAGCTCTCTCGAGCTGAGCTGAGCTAAGTACCGCTCTTTTTTTTTTTTTTTTTTTTTAATATATTTTATTGATTTTGTACAGAGAGGAAGGGAGAGAGATAGAAACATCGATGAGAGAGAGTCATCAATCAGCTGCCTCTTGCACACCCCCTACTGGGGATATGCCCGCAACTAAGGTACATGCCCTTGACCGGAATTGAACCCGGGACCCTTCAGTCCCCAAGCCGACGCTCTATCCACTGAGCCAAACCGGTCTCGGCCTAAGTCCCGCTCTTCCACGTAGAGGGTTCACCAGCTCAAGGGGATCTGGAGTTAGATATGACCTGGCTGGGGTTCTGAGTCTCCTGTGTCTTGGCCGGGCAGCTCTGGCAGCTTGTGAGGGTGACAGGAGATGGTGTGGGGAGGAGCTCAGACGAGGGACTTGGAAATTGGTCTCTTGGCTCTGTTGCTCCGTCTGAGCTGATTGCAGAGTGGGTCCCTTCAGTTGTCACCCCCAGGAGCCTCTGCTCCCTGGCAGCTTCTGTAAAGTGCTCGCAGATGCTGGCATTATCCTAGGGAGAAGGGAGTCTGTGTGCTCATCCAGTGGAAAGGGCCAGAGAAGGAAGAGGCTGATTGTTTCTCTGTAGGAGAAGCAGATAGGGGCTCTCCCATTCAGGTGGACAGTAAAGAGACAAGGCCAGGGAGTTTGATGGGTCAGACCAGGGTTTGAGTCCCGACTGTCTCTTTCTAGCTGTGACCTTAGGCAAGTTGCTTACCCTTACTGAGCCACAGTTCTTTTCATCTGTTAAGTAGGGCTGTGGCGAGGATTAGGTGCTCATAATGAATTTAGCACTGTGCCAAGCACAGAATGAACCTTAGTTTTTCATTGTTATTATCTTAATATTTACTTTTTTTTTTTTCTTAAAGATATTTTATTGATTTTGTACAGAGAGGAAAGGAGAGAGATAGAGAGTCAGAAACATCAATGAGAGAGAGTCATCGATCAGCTGCCCACAACCAGGATACATGCCCTTGACCGGAATCGAACCCGGGACCTTTCAGTCCCCAAGCCGACGCTCTATCCATTGAGCCAAACCGGTCCCGGCTCATTGTTATTATCTTAATGATGTCTATACCTTGGAATGCTCTGCAGGAGTTGTGGCCCACACATCCAGGTGCCCCCTGCCCTCTTCCTTTGTGGCAGTGGTTGGCAAACTCTAGTCAACAGAGCCAAATATCAACAGTACGATTGGAATTTGAGAGCCAAGTTTTTTTTAACTTAAACTTAAAAAAGAAGATCACGCCATTTCTTCAAAATAGACTCGCCCAGGCGGTGGTATTTTGTGGAAGAGCCACCCGCAAGGGGCCCAAGAGCCGCGTGTGGCTCGCGAGCCACAGTTTGCCGACCCCTGCTTTGTGGAAAGCAATAGGTATGGGTCCCTGAGCTGAGAGGCAGGAGGCCTGGACTCAAGCCCAACTCCGTCACTGACGTCCTGTGAACTTGGCCAAGTTTTTTCCCCACTGCAAGCCTTGGTTTTTCCATGTGTAAAATGGGAAGAACCATTAGTGTCTGTCTCTAGGGTCCTGCCAGTTCTGCCCACCGGGGACTCTGGGATGAGGTCTGGGCTGGCCTGGAGGTTTTGATGCATCACAATCTTGTTCTATTCTGTAGAATATCTATTTTTGTTTCTTTGTTTCTTTTTTTTTTAAATATATTTTATTGATATTTTATAGAGAGAAAGAGAGAGGGATAGAGAGTTAGAAACATCGATGAGAGAGAATCATCAATCAGCTGCCTCTTGCATACCCCCCACTGGGGATGTGCCCTCAACCAAGGTACATGCCCTTGACCGGAATCGAACCCGGGACCTTTCAGTCCGCAGACCGACGCTCTATCCACTGAGCCAAACTGGTTTCGGCAGAATATCTATTTTTTAAACATATTTTTATTGACTTCAGAGAGGAAGGGAGAGGAGAGAGAGAGCAAAACATCAATGAAGAGAGAGAATCATTGATCGGCTGCCTCCTGCACACTCCCTACTAGAGATCGAGCCCGCAACCTGGGCATGTGCCCTGACCGGGAATCGAACCATGACCTCCTGGTTCGTAGTTCAATGCTCAACCCCTGAGCCATGCCAGCCGGGCATCTGTAGAATATCTTGGGTCCCTTGGCTTCCTAGCTCCTACTTGATGTATCATCTTGACATTATCAATGCTGTTCACTCCCTAATTTTTATGTATCTCCCTTTTCCTGCCCCCAGCCAAACCCAGCCTTTCTTTCCACCTCCTTCCTGAAACCCTACAGGCCACTATTCTTCCCGTTAAGAGGATGAACCGAGGGGATTTGCCCAAGGGAGTCATCATCAATTTCTTCATCATCGCCATTATTGCTTCCATTTCTGGAATCCTGTGCTAAGCACTTTATAGGCATTACCTCATTTAACCAAATGAGCTTACATATGTAAGTGCTTGGCAAAATGCCTGGCGCATGTTAAACGACTGATAAAAGTTAGCTATTTTACTGTTTTTATACTTCTTCCTGTTATTCCACATGATGGGAGAGATGTGCGGGTCCCCTTTCTCAGAGGAGGAGGTTGAGGCTCAGAGAGGCGAGGAGGTGTGCCCGCGA